GTGCCTTATGAAATTGTAAAGTTTATTTGCATCAGTGTAGGACAGTTTAAAGGCAATTCCTAGAAGAGTTCCAAGAGAACTTGGAAAGGATTGTCCTGAAGATGGATTCATGTATTTTTTGTCATATTTTTAGAAATTATGTTGGGTGGAAGTTTCTAGGAAAATTTTAAGAGGTTTCCAAGACAATCATGGCTCTGCATAAGATTGCAGAACCATTCTGAAGTAATTACCATGTCAACTCTAATTTTCAATAGTGTATTCTATACAAAAATACGGATATCAGAATTGTAGAGAGTTTGAAGAGAAGTATATTATCAATATGAAGAATTGAATAATAATTCTTTGGGTCCAACAATTTGCACTCCTCCATGTAGAAGCTGGTTATCCATGTGCAAATAGATAGGTGGCATCCACTGCAAAATTGATCCTGACAGTTATTTCTAAAACATTTCTGAACAAACCAACTTATTATATCATTTTTGGCAAAGTGTGGAATGTTTTGAAGTGCTGGAAAGATCTTTCAAGAAACTTTCTTTATTTAATAAAAATTTCCATAACATTGGCATATTCATATTTTGGAGTTATGTGTACTTCATGTACGACTGAAATCCACAAATATTTTTAGTAGGAATTTACGTTCTTAAAATAAAAAAGGTACCTTTCCAACACTATCGTTGAGGCGTACATCCGTTTTTTTTTTCAAATTGAAGGATATTTGTTTTTTGTAATTACTTTATTTGTACAGGCTCAATCGAATAAACTTTACAGAGCCGAGTTATTATTTGCTTTATACATTATTACTGTCTTATATTTAAAGTTAAAGGAACTGGACCGAGTACTCGCGGTTGTCTCGAGGTTAGTGGAGATTTACATTTTTTGGATGGGAAAAGGGAAGAAGGAGGTTTGAAATGTGGTTTACGATACAACTATTTAATTAATCCTAAAGCATGAAATTATTTCTATTCATCTTGATAACAAACATTAAAAAAAAACCCACACGTACAAAATACAAACTAAACACAAGGTTAATCAAACTTACAATCTAAGGTTAATATCCTTAAAGTAAACATATATGAGTTTCATAAACTCCAGATCGCGTCTAGCCAAAATATCCCGAACTGGAACATTAGGTTGTCTACCTCGAGCCCGAAGGGAATCATAAAAATGTGATCTGACTCCACGATACTCCGCACAAGACCAAAGGATGTGATCAGCGTCCTGGTAACCTTGTCCACATTCACAGAGATTGCTGTCTCCCAACCCCACACGGAACAAGTGAGCGTTTAGACAATAGTGATTGGACATGAGACGAGACATCACGCGTATGAATTCTCGACTCAAGTCCAACCCTTTGAACCATGCAAACTTCGACACCTTAGGGATAATTGAATGTAGCCATCGTCCCAAGCTCCCTTCACTCAATTGATGTTGCTAGCTAACGAGCGACTGCTGACGATAAATAGAGAAAAATTCACTATAGGCGATTTGTCGATCATAAATGTCGCCTTCCATAGCGCCCACCTTCGCAAGTGAATCCGCCTTCCAAAGGTGATGATGAAATAGCGCACGGATAAAGCACTAAGCAGCTCTCGTATTTTCAAGAGAAAATACGAGAAGTGCTTTACCGGCCTAATGGAACGGATAGCCTCGACAGAACTGAGACTATCCGTAAAAATAAAGTAGTGGTCTGGAAGAAGTGAAGCAATAGTTTCCAAAGTGTAGTGAATTGCTGCCAGTTCAGCCACATACACAGAACAAGGAGCTTCAAGTTTTTGAGAGGCGCTATGAAATTCATTAAATACACCAAAACCAGCGGACTCCTCTATTAGAGATCCATCTGTGAAAAACTTTCTAGCGGAATCAACATGGCCAAACTTTGCAGCGTATAATGACGGAGCAATCATAGGACGATGATGCTCTGGAAGTCCGCGGATTTCCTGCGTCATAGATAAATCAAAATTCACTGAATTGCCGAAATCGGAGAAGACTACACGATTGGGAATATTTCTTGAAGGGCTGACATCCTGTGTTAAATATAGGTAGTACAAAGTCATAAAACATGTTTGAGGATTTAGCTCCAGAAGCTTCTCAAAGTTTTTGATCACCAGTGGGTTCATTACTTCGCAACGGGTGAGGAGCCTCAGAGATAACTCTGAAAAACGGACGGATAGTGGCAGCATGCCCGCCAGCACTTCGAGACTCATAGTATGAGTCGAGTGCATGCATCCTAACGCGATACGAAGACAACGATACTGGATCCGTTCCAGCTTGATGATGTGCGTTTTAGCTGCCGACTGGAAGCAAAAACTACCGTACTCTAAAACCGATAAAATCGTTGTCCGGTACAACGTCAGAAGATCTTGTGGAAGGATATTTTTGAAGCTGTACAATTTTTGTCATTGATCCTCCATCTAATTGAGCTGATTTTGTATATGTTATTTGAGTCAAGAAGTAGAAGTAGATACATATTTCTGGAATGACATTTTCACTCAAGACTATTTTTAAAAGGGCGTATGTATGTATGTATGTATTTATATATGTATGTGTGTGTATGGATAATCTGCCGCGATTGTTCAAGGCGACGATGGATCAAGTGATGTGCTTTGACCGCCGAAAATGATACCAGCAGAGAAATTCAGGAGGAGAAATTCGCCGTCGCCCAAAGTTGACTATCTACAAGACGCTGATTAGACCGGTAGTCCTCTACGGCCACGAGACTATGCTCTTTGAGGACCCTTGGTGTTTTCGAACGGAAAGTGTTGCGTACCATATGCGGTGTAGTGCAGATGAATGACGGAACGTGGAGGAGGCAAATAAACCACGACTATCATGGGCTGGGCACGTTGTTAGAATCTGGCCGAGGGAAAATGATTGACGAAAGTGACCCAACAGGAACAAGAAGAAAAGGCGCACAGCGCGCAAGGTGTATCGACCAAGTAGAAGGCGACCTGCGGACCCTTCACAGACTACGAGGCTGGCTAAGTGTGGCCATGGATCGAGTACAGTAGAGACGAGCACAGGACAGCAAAGGACAGCAGAGGACATCAAGGCCTTAGCCTGATTGGGACACGAAAACCAAAAATGTAGTACATTTAATGTTAGTTTGAATTTCCAATTCCAGTGAATACCGCAGAGAATGATATTAGTTGACCATGCAGACTATGCAATGATTTTTTATCTTTTTTTATTTTGTGCTCTGTCTATGCTTTCGACTATACCAGAGTTTGCTCTTTATTTATAAAATTGTAGACCGACGGAAACACTTCTTATACGCTTTTAGCCTATCCATATTCCTAAGCATGGAGAGAGCAGTGTGGAGTAAGCACAGTTATGCTAATCCGTTCGGGGTTTAATTTCAGTGACCAGCCTGTTTTCATTTTTTTTCACTCCAGACCGGTCTGCAATGTTTATCCTCCTTTTATGCGGTCTCCACTAACATCCTGCGATGATGAATCCCATATAATTGTAAGCAAATCTTACATCCCCGGTTGGGTGTAAGGTAAGTATGAGTTTTCGCACTCATTATTTGATAAATTTTAGATCGAAAGTTGGTTGTATTGAAAAGTAGTTATGACGATAGAATATGATGTCAATCGTGATTCTCCATCAGCAATCATAAGTTTTGCGCAATTTATTTATGCTTACCTCCAAATTATACTTTGAAAACTGGGCAATCTAGCGACCCAATTAAAAATTTACAGGTAAAATAAAAACACTATTGGTTTAAATATATAAATCAACACAATTGAAGCTGCACTTGCTTCCATTAACAAGCGTAGTTTCATCATACTTATACCACGGATTCACTTGTATCATAATTTATGATCATGAGCCTTATTTGTATAATAATTATAAACACTACTACCTTGGAGATTTGGAACAAGGTGTGCAACCGTCAGTCATGAACATCATGGAACCACTGCCAACTACACCACGACATGGCCTTGAGAAAATACCATCGACCACGACAATAACGTCAGCATCAACTCAGGATAGTGGTGAGCAACATTTGTCCAGGATGCATAATATTGGGCTTTTCAACAAGGGCTTAGATGGTATCAACGTTTCGCTAATATCAACGCTGAACAACAAAACACATCTTCGACTTTCAAGTGGAATAAGATGGGAGCTTTTGAAGTTGAATGCAGTGGAGCACGGCGACATGAACATCGGAAGGAGACATTTGCTGATCAAGGCTGTTCGAAGGACGACCAATTAAGGATTCTAACGATTTTTCCACAATCTTGATCAACACAAAAGTTGATGCACGAGTTTGAGTCGTTGTAAATTTAAAACAAAGTACAATATTGATGCTGAATGGTATTTTTTTTTTGCAACTTCACATGGTTGACAAAATTACGATGATCAGAACACTGTCACGTTCTGTCATGACAAAAATTCGATGAGATTTTGAAGAAAATCTCTATCATCGTTTTCTCATCCATGTTCTTGTTAACATAACCAATTAAACCACAAGACAGAGGATCTAATTTCCTGTAAAAATTTCCGAAGATATTACAAAATTAGTGAAAAATGTGATTTTGGTTTGACTAGAAAAGTTCATTATTTAAATACGAAAATAAATCTAGCTCATATTTTTAACTCACGGAGGTACGAACCATCGCATAAAACCACTCACTCTCAATTCTGCCCGAGTAAGGATTACTCCGAACGGCCTTCCACTCAATTCCCCCCTCACCCACAGGATTACACGCGTTCGTTTTATCTTACCCGCTCCGCCAGCACCAACTGGTCCAACGGAGATAAACTGAGTTCCACTCTACTCCACATACACAGTCACTCTTTCTCTCCCACATGCTCTCTCTCCATGTTTTCCTTTTGGCCCTAGCCTGTTCCAGTGGCAGCATTGTTTTCCACCCATTCCCGACGATGTTCCGATGACGTTGGCGGAAGGTGGCCAACGGGAAGCGGGACGAATGTTTGTGTATTTCTCGCTCCTTCCTTGCGCTGCTGCCGGGCTGCCAACCAGTGCCAAGCCAGTGGGTTATTAGTTGCGCGACAACATTGAACGTAGTAAGACGCTTATCGTCGTTCGCTTCGCACCCAAACTAGCGTGCTTCTTCACCTGCTGCTACTGTGGGCCAATTAGTTGGTGTGTGCGCGCGCGAAGACCCGAGATCGGAGATTTTCCCCCTTTCCGCGCGGGTTTGAGCGCAGCGTGTGTGCGTGTGTTATCAGCTCGGGAGATTGGGAAGGATTTTCCGGAACAGGTTATTCAGTTTCGTCGATACAGCCGGTTTGGACGGTGCAATCTCGGTGCTGAGCAGCGCTTCCCGATCGAACAACCGGTCGCTTTTTGGTGCAAATCCTGACGAAAACAGTTGATGATTAGTTATTTTTTGTGTTTTGTTTTGTGAAAGACGCAAAATCAGTGTTGTGCTAATCTTTGGAAACAGTCGAAATCAGAAACGCGAAAAACAGCGGCTTAAGTTAAGCCGGCAATATAACATACACGACTTTACGTTGCTTGCCTCTTGTGTCAGCTTCTTTGGGGGCCCGGTGCGGTGTGATCTTGAAGAAGCGAACTTCCCGCGAATTCCGTCAGCCCTCCCAGTCAGTGGAGGTAACGATACTAGAGGAGTGAGAGCAAGCACTCTACACATATGTGTCACGCCACGGCCAAGCCGAAACGACGACACACTCGGGGAAGCGGACGCGGTCGAAACAAAACATGATAAATTTGTTTTTGTGTTAATTTTTAATCTGATTAAAGAGAGGGTTAATTAATGCATTTAACATTAATTCGCGAGCGCCGTAAGAACGTTCGGACGAGTTCAGTATCCAAGGTTCAGGGAAGATGCTATGGGTGTTTTTTGAAAAGTTGAATTTATGGTGATTGTTTCGGTGGACCTGAGCGAGGGCAGTGGGCAGATTATCCCTTCTCCGGTAACAACATTGAGTGCGAGTGAAGTTTGATCCCATGTTTGTGTAACTCTGTAACAGATGGTGCCAACGACAACCGGTGGGTGGAAGATAGTGCAAGTGCATAGGTTATTGATAAACGAGAAACTGGTGCAACCGGACAATTGAAACTAGAACGGCACGGGCGCATGTTCTTTGGCATGGATTTTCAGAGTGCAATGGAAACCTTCGCCGAAGCATGGGTCGCTGCAAGCGCTGGAGCACAGGTGAGTTGGTGGCTGGGGAGATTTCAAATTCGTATGGGAAGAATGATCAAAATGTTCTTGTACATATGCGTCAAGATTGTTTTCTTATAGCACAAATTAAAAAAAAAACATGATTGCTAGACGTTTTGTACGCACCACGTTATATAAGCCAGTTTATATTCGTTTAAAAGATCTAGTGCAGTGTATTTACGGCAAGGCAGCATTTGTTCATTAAATTTAAGTGAATATACTCAAACTTAGGCGAACCAGCCCTAGGTTGAAAGCCTCCCTAATAAAGAAAAGCAGATATTTCTTCTTTAATCTTACTCGTAAGATCCTTAGAGCAACTAAGGTTTTTTTAGAAGGACAAATATCAAAGCACTGTTCTAGTTGATGATTTTAGGCGTGAAATGGCTAGCAATGCTTACCCCTGGCAAAGGCTTTCCAACGAGTACCAACCTTGTAAATGCTTTCAGGAAAGGGCCCAGGTAAATTTAGAGCTGGTCACTCACTGATTCTTCATATCTGCGCCTCGTTTAAGGAGTGACCGTAATTCTAATTTCGGTATGTACACACAATTTAGTTCCCCCTAATTAAAACTAGGGTATGGCTAGTCTTGGTATGACTATCAGCTCTCCATTAAACTTAAAAAAAACCTAAATTTTTCTTCTATTTGCTTTCCAGTTTAACGATGGATTAACAATGTTTTATGTCTGACGTTGCGGTTCTTGAACTTGGACATCTTCAGGGGATATCAAGTTGTATCGTCTTTCGATCAGTGAAAAAATCTTAACTTAATCCAACCCCTGGATCGAAACGTTGGCGATGATAGAACTGTAATTTACAATTTTTCTTGGAGACTTAAAAACCGAAACAGAATGAATAATTCTTAAAGATCTTTTAACTTCTCTGCAAATCAAGACTTTTCTGAAGTTTTCGGTGATTACTCGGAGTAATACGAAATGCCTTGAAGAGCCCTGAACTTTTCTAGCGTTCCATAAATTTTCCTGATAGTCATGGAACACTACTGAAGACCCTGCAAATTTCAAGAATTCTTGAAATATTTCATAATTCTCAATTAACTAATGGAACTGCTATGAACCTCGATATACTTGGAACGTCCCTGTGAATAATGAAACTGCTTAAAAATCTTAAAACATCACTGAAGCTCTGATAACTTTCCTGATGTTCTGGACATTCCCTGAGCATCTTTGAACTTCTGTAAAGTTCCTGCAATTTCCTTGAAGATAAATGAACTACCCTGAGTTTCTCTAATCTTCCCTGATGTTTTCAAAGCTACCCTGAAGTTTTCACAACTATCCGGAAATGTTGGTACTGCCCTGGAATCCCTGAAACTTCCCTGAAAAACTCTAAAAAGTTTTTTTTTTAATCTTTATTTTAGATATTTTTAGCCGAATGCTAGTTCATCTCCACTGGACAGCTGTTAAGTTCCCAAAATATGTCAATAGCTTTCTAAAAATTTTGGTTGATCTTTAGACTTCTCTAAAATTCCTGGAACTTCTTAAAGAAGAATGATGATGATGATGAGATGATGATGATGATAATGAAAGTCCCACCTTTTACCCTTACAAAGGTATGAGCTGGACGATTTAGTATGACATCTTAACTAGATTAGTAATCAAAACGAACTGGTTACAGTTACAGATATAAATTCCATCACCAATTTCAGTTGCTTCACAGCGATATACCGTATGCGTGATAATGTTTGCACCATTAAGCAATGTCAAAATTAAATAAATTCTCAAAAATTTCGTTTCCGAGTTTTTCTATTTATTTCAAGGGGGAATGTTTCTCAGAATCTTTAACTATGATAATCATCGATCGATCACTTGCTGCAATAACGGACTCGACACGTTTCCGGAATGCACGGCAGGTTCAAATAATGTAGCCTGGATCCATTTCTCTCCAGGTACGGGTTAACGTTTGTCTGAGGCTTGCTGTACTCAGGTAGCGTTTAGAACAGGCCTTGGCCTTCATGACGCGCCATATTGAGTAATCTAGCGGAATAGGATCGGGGCTGGATGGCGACCATATATCCTTCACCCAGAACGGAAAATGTTCCTGCAACCACTTCTGAGTGCGGTTTGAGGTGTGGCACGGAGCCCCATTTTGTTGAAATACAACATTTGGCTTCGGACCGTACTGTTCTTAAATCCACGGAAGAATATACTTACTTAAAATCTCGATGTAGATCTCCGTGTTGACGTTGTCGCCTTCTGAAATGACCACCGGGTCCATTTTTTGCCATCGGAAGCCACCAATCCAAACACCATAACGCTAGCAGGATGCTTGGTCAGACACACGTTCTTGTGCTAGTCGGCCACGTCTTTTACCGGAAGAGAACTAAAATACCGGTCGTTTCTGGAATTTGAAAAGGGATCGGCGGTAAATGATCTAGTCGGTGAACAGGGTTTACCGGAATTTTTTCGCTTAAGGAAGTTCAAGATTTTCTTGCATCGTTCGACTCGTAGCTCCCGGATGCGCTTGGTAATCATGTGTTGGTTGGTTTCTTTTCTCGGTCTAAAACACTTTTGACGGTCCACCGGGACACTCCCACGGCGATTGAAATGTCTTTTTGCGACATTGTGCTTTGTGCTTTGACATTTGTGCTTTGGACAAATCACGAATACGCTGCCACTTCGTCATGGTGCAACTGTCAAACTAAGTAAGTCATTTTCTTTTATACATAGCCTACTATGGTATGAGCTATAGGTTACGGGCATGCTAAGAAAACCAAGGCATTGTATGCACAGGTGAAACGGGAACGTTATTTGTACGATGGTGCAAACATTATCAACGGTAAATATGAAAACGCTTAGGCTTTCACCTCTTTGTTCACCCTTATGTCAACCTAAAATATTCACAAGAATTTCCAGCGATCAAGGGTTCATGAATAATTAAGAAAACATCCTATTACATTAGCAATCTGGCAATCTGAAGCTATCATAATTTTCAGCAATGTCTTGTGCCCCCAAAATTCAGCCAGTAATTCTACTACTAATTCAAAGGATCTTCCAAATGAGCATTTAAGTTCATTTATTTAAATTGCTAAATTCAGTCCGTAAAACGCACACGATATGATAAATAAATTAAACGAAATAAATAGATTAAAGTTCTAACAACTTTTATATAGCTTTCTTGATTTATCTGATGTTGTCTTGACTTTCCCAAAGTTCTCTGGATATCCCTGAAGTTCCTAGAACAGTTGCCTTGAAATCCTTAAAATTTCTGTGAAGTTTCGGACATTTTTCTTGAGTACACTAAATTTCCTTGATGGTCTCAATACTATCGCTCTGGAATTCAGTAAACGGCACTATATTAATCGCCATTGCTTTTCTATCTCAATCCGTAGTGATTGTGTGATCACTCCTCAGCTGACCAATTCCTGAAGGAGGTATCGAACAGACCGAAACTTGAAACAGAACATAAAATAGCTGTATTTTGATTTTGTCGAAATTGAAAAGACATTCTGTAGGTCAATGTGACCTAATCAAATAACTGCAATTACTATTGCAACAAGTTCTAAAAATCAATCAAAAACTCTTGATCAATTTCACTCACAAACTAGAGCTTACGTATTTTTTTAAACGAATCAATTTACTAGGTTTTGTTACTTGTGCACCAATATTCACATATTGCTGCAAATCCTGATCAAGTTGTCCCCAGCATACGATACCTGAAATTTACCTGAAATTCCCACAATTTTCCAAATCATGGCCTACACTGAGTGTTCTCAGAACTGCCCGAAGTAACGTAGTTTCCCTTAAGTTTTTTAAAATCAACTGAAGTTTCAGTAAAGTTCCTGATTTTATGTTGAAAATAATGGTACAGCGCGGAAGCTCATTGCTATTCACTGAAGTTCTCGAAATTTTCCTGAAATCTATGTCCATGTTGTTCTGGATGTTTTTGAAGGTCTCGGAAGGGGAGTTTTCAGAACTTCTTGGACTTTTCATGAAGTTCGCAGAACTTCTAGATATTTTTTCGGAATTTTCAGATGCTAATGCAACGTTAATCAACACAACGCTTTCAAAATTTTCTATATTCCCCCCGTCTCGATGATTCTCATCGTCGCCCACTGGTCACCATAGCCGGTCGAACTCCAGACGAAGCTAGAACAGCACTACCATTCATACTGGCGACAACGCTCTGATGAGACAACGAAACCCTACCCCAAGCTCCTCCCCTGATCCTATCCTTCAACAATGTACCCCTCTAACCTCGAGTAAGCCGCGAATAATCGGCCCAACTCCTACTAGACATAGAATTAAGTGAATTTTGTTACAAACAGTGAACAATGAATTATCGGCTCCGTAAAGCTAACGCGATTGAGCCTTCCAAATAAACGACATGGATAAAAAAAAATTCTATAAGTTCTGATGCTTATGGCACTCTAAACAGCCACCTACATTAGATTATTTTGCGTTGCGTTGACGTAAATTTGGCAGCTAGACAAAAGATTTAGCTGTCACTTTGCCGCAACACGTCAGATCCGGATCTAATGTGGGTGGCCCTTAAGAACTTTAAGTAAGTAAGTAAGTAACACACCTGTTAAGTTTCTACAATTAAGCTAATCGAAGTTTGCAAGATTTTTCTGACGTTTTTGGAATGTCCCTCATGTGTACAGAATGTTTCAAATATTAACTGAACTACCCGGAAGTTCTTAGAATTTTATCGAAGCTCTCTAAGCTTTTTTAAAGATCTTTGAACTTGTGGGAGGTATTCTGAAGTTTTTTGAAGTTTTTGTGAAGCTCATGATTTTTTTCGATGCTAATGCAACTTTGATGAAGTTAATTAATTTTCCATTAAGTAAAAATTTATGCATTGATGATCTCAGAGTTCACACTTGAGGATCTATAAACTTTCTTTTTCCTTTTTTACTATATTATTGAGATTTTTAGCGCTAGGCAGTTCATGTAATAGAAAATTCGATCCGATTATCGAATCGAAACATTGCTACAATCGATATATTGAATAATTATACCGAAATATAAAAAAAAAAC